CACATAGGTGTCACACAGGTGGTTCAAAAATAAAAGTCACAACTCCACCAGGGGTCAGCAGGTCAGTCACAGAGAGGACAACACACCTCAGATGTTCTTGCCAGTAAGTCACAAGCTGGACGTGTGATCCTGAGATGGGGGGAGGGGGGGGGGACGTCGAGAACGGGGAACAGATGCTTTGAGGTTAACGTGACTCACCTCAGTCCTGTCTCCGACGATGGAAAACCAGAACTGACTCGTCCATTTCCTTCGTACGGGACTTAGAAAAGCTGAGTGATGAAATGAGCTCTCGTTCAAACAAATGGTCGTCCGCTGCAGAGATGACCGACGAGCTGAGCTCGTTCCAGCTCACACGAGACACAAACTACAGATGGAAACACAAAGTACATCATTTGAGGTTCACTGAACAGAATATGTTTTACTTTAATTAGTTATCCCGCCTCTTGCACAGGGACTGCTGGACATGGGCACCAGTGACCCCCGTGACCAGAAAAGGAAGAAGTGGGTGAAGATGATGGATGGATAGAAGGAAGGAAGGTCGCCATGGTAACAACATTTACCAGCAAAGACAACTTATCTAAAAAAACAAAAAAAAACAGCTACAGATTGGCCAACTTTATATATTTTACCTAAAAAGGCAGCGGGCACAAACATTCTTTCGAGAAGTGCTAAACAAATAGCAAATAAGAACAGCAGCAGCAGCTAGCTGTAGCTCATGGTGCCCAGAGGACACTTCTGGAAGGAATACCACAACATTTATGCTAAAAAAAAACATCAAGTGTGACACGAACAGATTTATAAAACTGCGTTGCCAGATTTGAGTTGTTGAACAGCAACCCACTTTGGTCTTGGCCTCACCTGAGCTAGCTGTTAGCTCGTGGATTCAATCAGATTTTAAAAGGATTCATTAAATGCACCAGCCATCTACAGGTCAGAAATAACTGTTCTTAACCTACTGAGGCCCACTCAGAGGATCTGAACTGTCCCTTTAAAACTCGACCCCAGCTCATCAGGAAGTTTTTCAGGAGTTGTGTCCTGCAAAACACACGGCAGTCTATAAATAAAGCAAAGGCCCGCTGGATTACGCTCAGCTGCCGGACCTTAGGCGGCTTCATTTAACCTCAGCAGGCTGAAAACAAGAAAACATTCAGGACATGGATACACCGAGTGCCAGTTCAGCACATGAGCCTGACTCATCCTCCGTCCTCTGAGTCACTCTGTCCTGCTCTGGTCCAGGATCTGTTCGTCTGCCAACCCCCCGGTCCAACAGGAGGCTGGCCACGATGCAACATGGCCCCTCGGAGGAGGTGGAGGCGCCGGTTGTCTTCTGTGCATCGCTTTGTTTGGAGAAAATGTTAGTTTGGGTGGCAAAGACGGAAAAAGACATCCAAAATCCAGAAACTCTGTCGTGCATCAAACGATTTACTAAAAGAAAATACACAAAAAAAACCCTTTGCACCTGAACGTGAGGGGTTAACATAATCCTAAAGGAAAATGCCACAATTTCTATTCAGCATAATTTATTCTACATTTCTGTTGATTTCTCCCCTTCAGGCCAACATCAAAGAAAAAAGTTGTGTTTAAGCTTTTTATACAGTAAATGAGCTTTGAGACTCTGCAGCACATCTGAGAGACGAGTTCACAAGTAAACACTTCTGTGGTGGGGACGAGTCTCACGGGATTAATGCACCAGATTACAAGAAGCTGCACTTCCACCGTGTGTCCAGACATGCTCCCAAAGATCAAGTCACATTAAGACGTAATAACATTTTAAACAATTGTTGAAGGCGGGCCATGGATCACGCTGCACTCCTCTCCAGGCCTCCATGCGAGACTGGAAATAATGTTCACGGACTCTGATGAGATCGTAGAATATTTACAGCGGCGCTTGAAAGTTTGTGAACTCTTTATAATTTTCTATATTTCTGCATAAATTTGATGTAAAAACATTTTCAGATTCTCACACAAGTTCTAAAAGTAGATAAAGAGAACCCAGTTAAACTAATGAGACTAAAATATTAAACTTGGTCATTTATTTATTTATTGAGGAAAATGATCCATTATAGAATATATTAGTGGTAAAAGTATGTGAACCTTCACTTTCAGTACCTGGTGTGGACCGCGTTCCACAGATGGCATAAGGTTCTTCTGCAGGAGTGAAGTCTTGTTCTTTCTCCAAACAGAACTCTTTTCATTGAAACCAAAAAGTTTTATTTTGGTCTCATCGTCCACAAAACATTCTTCCAACAGTCTTCTGGTTTGTGCACGTGATCTTTATCAAACTGCAGACGAGCAGCCGTGTTCTTGTTGGAGAGCAGTGTCTTCTCCTTCAACCCTGCCATGAACCACTGTTGTTCAGTTCTCCTGATGGTGGACTCATGAACAGTGATGTGAGAGAGACCTTCAGGTGTTAGAAGTTACCCTGTTACCCTTTGACCTCGCCCACTCTTCCACACCTTGGAGTGATCTTTGTTGCTCCATCACTCCTGGAGAAGGAACACTGCTCTTGAACTTCCTCCACCTTCCTTCCTTACACCGTCTGTCTGACTGTGGACTGGTGGAGTCCAAACACTTTACAGATGTTTTGTAACCCTTTCCAGCCTGATGAGCATCAACAGCTGTTTTTCTGAGCTCCTCAGACGATCCACTTCCACCAACATGTTGTGAAGATCAGACTTTGATAGATCCTATTCTTCATATCAAACAGGTGCTCACTCACCTGATCATCATCCATTGATTGAACACACCTGACTCTAATTTCACCTTCAAATGAACTGATAATCCTAGAGGTTCACATACTTTTACCACTAATCTGGAATATTGGATCATTGTCCTCAATAAATAAATGACCCAGTTTAATATTTTGTCTCATTAGTTTAACTGGGTTCTCTTGATCTACTTTTAGGACTTGTGTGAACATCTGAAGATGTTTTAGGTCAAATTTATGCAGAAATACAGAAAATTATAGAGTTCACAAACTTTCAAGCAGCACTGTAAAACACTGGATGTGTGCAATAAAATACCCACAGCATTAATCCGCTGTGTAATATTAGCTGACTGTATGCACACACTACATGTGTGTGTGTGTGTGTGTGTGTGTGTGTGTGTGTGTGTGTGTGTGCAGAGGACCTGACAGAAACAACGTTGGTCTGACGGAACAACTCAAAGCTGCTGTGTGATCGTCTCCTGAGAGGAAACAGACACTCGGGGCTCAGAAACCTTTATCATAAATTCACTCATAAGGCTGATGCTTCAGTAGGAACACTCACTGAATCATTCCAAGAAGTACTTTTTGAATTACTTTTACTTTAGATTGTTTCTGAATAACAGCAAAGCTGCTAAATTGACTGAATAAACAGGAAACAAACAGGATTAGAAACTAAAACAAGCATCTCAACAAATTCAAGCAGATTAGCCACAGATTCACGATTAGAACAGAGGATTAAACATCGGGCCGTAAAAGTTCATAACGCTTAGTAAAATTTCAAACAGCGTTCAGTTCGACTAAGTTTATAGAACTAGCAGCTTCAGTCTGATTCCTTAAAGGAGAAAAGCAGGTCTTGTTTAGCGTGGAGCGGATTCTGCAATCCACACAAGAAGCGCAGGAAATGAAAATGCAAAAGAAGACGGAGCAAATCGAAACAGTCAAAGACAAAAAGAGCAAACGACGGTTTACAAACCAAAGTTATTTTGAAACGAGTCAAAAGGCAGTTCAAACAAGACCAAATGAAGAGCGGACGAGAAATGTGCAACACAACCGTACACGGAAAACATCTTTACAAGTTACTAAAGTATTGTTTGGACATTTTCGTCTGGTCACTGAAGGCA